ATCTACACAACTTATATGTACGTGCATACGTGTATATATATATATATATAGACAGACATGCATACATACAGACAGACAGACATACATACACACATATGCCTACAATAATACGTACATATGTGCTGCAAGCTGTGTGGCGAAAGCTATTGGGGCAGTCAGTGTGTTACGACATATGCGTTACAGCTCGCAATACATGCGACGCAGTGTATGCGGTGCATGATACGTGGTCCAAGCAATGTGGCACCACATATGTACTGCAACGTATGCGATGCAAGCTATGTGGTGCGATCTCTGTGGTGCAATCGACGATTTACAAACAACTTTAAGTCGTCAACCCCTTTGCTCGCGCAAACTTCCCACCCTCGTACCAGCAGCGTGTCAGCAAAAATCATACACAGGCCGTAAGTGCAATTACGCTTCGGAATGTGCTTGCGAAGATCAAGTATCACGGTGACGCAACGACCCTGCTCATTCAGATCCATGGTTTTGGAGGGCGAGTGATGATGGTAACGACACCGACGACGACGACGACGATGGTGACGATGAAGACGGTGGTGGCGATGGTGACGAGGGCGACTACATCGACGATGCGACGATGACGTCAATGGTGATGTTGACGATGACGACAAGACGACGACGACGACGACGACACCGATAATGGTGATGACGGTGATGATGATGATGATGATGATGATGATGATGATGATGATGATACTGATGATGAGTATGGCAATGATGACGTTGGCGATGACGAAAATGATGATAATGATGATGATTATGATGATGCGAGTGATAGTGACGACGATGATTATGATGATGACGATGATGATGATGATGACGACGACGACGATGATGATGATGATGATGATGGTGATGATGATGATGATGGCGATGGTACCAATGAGGTGGTGAGGAAGTGCGCGCACGCAGAAATTCTAATGTCTGGCACACGATGGATTTCAAAACTATTGGTATTTTGTGTGCGTTTGAACACGTCTGTGGTGGCATGCGTTGCAACCAAATTGTGTCGTAAGGATTTCGACGTGCGCGCACGGAGACGCGCGCGTGAGGCCTGCATGGTATGATTTGGCAGTCGGCGGGTGCGCAATGATTGTTGAACATGTTCGACATGTTCGCGCGTGCGGCGCCGACGCGAGCCACATATGCATACAGCTACGCATATACAGCATCCGAACACAAACAACATCAGCCAGCACGCAACATATCGAAAACGCGATCCATCGTTGGAACTCTTGAATGGAAATGTTAAGAGTCGAGTGTGTGCGGCGCTTCAGCGAGACCGCCACAGCTTGACAGCGATCCGACCTCCACCCGGAACTGCGAGGAGTTCAAGGTAGACACCATAAGTGGTGCAGAAGTGTCAGCGACACACCTGGCTCGCCCTGCCGACACGCCTTGAGGCGTGGCGAGGAGGAGTCAGCTGGAAGGCGGAGGGGTGGAGGACGAACAGGAGGAGACCAGAAGAGCCTGAGAGGAGGATGGGCGGGATGAGAAGGAGGAGGAAAAGGAAGCAGCGGGAGGAGGCCAGGAGAGGCCAGGAGAGGCCTGGAGGACGCGGGCGGGTGCGAGGTGCTGGCAGCAGATGGAGGAGGCGCGGCCAGGAGGAGCAACGGGAGAAGAAGGAGGAGGAGGAGGAGAAGCATAGACGCCACGATCATCGGATCTAGGTCCGCGCAACGTCAAGATCATCCGATCTCGGCCCGCGCAGCGTCAAGAAGGAGGAGAGGGAGGAGCCCTGAAACGCTGGTGAACGCCGGGGCCCGGCGGGCGAGAGGGCGAGGGGGGAGCCGTGAGCGGCGGGCTCGCGGAAGCCAGGGCGAGAGAGGACGAGGGGCGACAGCGGCAGTAGGCAGGCAGCCTCGGGATGCGAGGGGCCCGCTTCTGGACCTCCTCGGAGCTCCCTCGGCTCTCTCTCTCTCTCTCTCTCTCTTGAGAGAGAGAGAGAGAGAGAGACCTGGCCGCGGTACAGGCCCTTTGAAGCCGCCGGCGCTCACTCGGCGGCGAGCGAGGGGGGCGAAGTGAGAAGGAGAAGGCTTTCTCAGAAGGTTCGGAAGCCTACCCTGGCCTTATGAGAAATGTTATGAGCCTTCCCCGAAGACACACAAGATTGTGCAGAAGGCGCGAGGGCTTCTGAGAAGTCCCGCCGCCTTCTGAGAAGGCCTTCTCCTTCTCATTTCCCCCCCTCGCTCGCCACCGTCTCACGGAGGTCCCCGAGCTGCTCTTGCCAGGCGAGGGCCCGGACGTACCAGCCATCTCGCCAACTCACGCCAAGTGGTCTTCTGGGATTTGTTCTGCTGTTTGCGTTCTCGAACGCGTTGGACTCCCAGCTCCGTCCCCAGACCTCTCCGACGTCGCAATTTCCTCGTGACGTGGGCCCCCAGTCAAGGGAGGAAAAACCACCCAGACCCCGACAACTGGCGTTTACTAAACGGCCCAGGACGTTTACCAAACAGCCCGGCCCAGTTCGATTCCTTCGCTGGGGGCGTCTATGAAACGGCTTCGCTTGTCGGGGTGAGTCTTCTGGGGGTGGGCTTCCTGCCCTCTACCCGATGTGGTGGTGATTCTTCTGGGGGTGATTCTTCTGGGGGTGATTCTTCTGGGGGTGATTCTTCTGGGGGTGGTTCTTCTGGGGGTGATTTTTCTGGGGGTGACTCTCTCCTGGATGTGGTGCTCAGCCCGAGCAGCTCTTGTCCACGGCCCTGGAGCCCCCCCACCCGCGGAGAGGCCGCCCCCCGAGGCCGCCGACGGATCGCCCCGAGCTCCTCGCGTGGCTTCTGCGTGGCGCGACGGGGTCGGGGGGGTCAAGAGCTGGCTCACGGACCTGTCCCAGGGATCGGCGGCGAGCGAGGGTCGGGCCCGACGGAAGGGGGGGATTGGGAAGGGGGGGGGTACGAAATCTGCTGCGTGCAGCTGGTTTCGGCCCCGCCGCCGAGCCCATTCCTCGATACATGGGCGTCTCCTGGCGCCGGGAGGCGCCGGGAAAATCGGCCACGTGAGCTGAGTCTCAAACCCCCCCTTTGTTATCCCCCCCTTTCGCCCGGCCCGACCGGGGGGGTCAAAAGCTGGCTCACGGACCTGTCCCAGGGATCGGCGGCGAGCGAGGGGGGGGAAGCGAGAAGGAGAAAGGGCCTTCTCCCAGAAGGCGGCGGGACTTCTCGGAAGCCCTCGCGCCTTTCTCTGTGCGTTTTCGGGGAAGGCCCAGAGAATTTCTTGGAAGGCCCAGGGACTTCCGAACCTTCCGAGAAGGCCTTCTCCTTCTCACTTCCCCCCCTCGCTCGCCACCGAACTCCAGCCAGGATGTTGTTGGAAATCGAGCCACGAAGAGCTCCCCGGATGCATCAAAGATCGTCAAAAACACGCGTCCTGACAAATTACTTTGCTCCATCCGCGGGCCTCAGAGATCTCGAGCCCTTCCCTGGGGGCAGCTGCTCATTCCGAACAATCTGTCACCACGAGCAGCCCCTGGATGCCGAGATTGAGGAAAAACGTTTGGAACTGGTGAAACAATCCGCCAGAGAGCTGGGTCCTCCTCCGCCTCGTCCTTGTCCTCCTCCGACGACGACGACGAATGACGGCGGCGACGATGTCGCAGTCGAAGTGTTGCTCTCGGCGCGACCCCCCGTGGGGATCTCGTGGTTGCGTCCCGCGCAGGGCACCCACGCAGCGCCGCCCGAGGCCGAGGTCCTCCTCCTCCTCCTCCTCCTCCTCATCCTCCTCCTCCTCCTCCTCCTCCCCTGCGGCCTGCGCGCCCAGGTTTGGCCACCCCGCGGCCCCCGTTGCAGTCAACCCGCATAGGAAGGATGAGCGACTTCCCAGGGCTACCCTTGCAGCCTTCCCCTTCGGCTCATCCTTGGCCGCATTCGGTGGCCGCGCCCCGTTCGCAGAGCCTTCCTTGGCCCTTGCACCCATGTCGTGCATCCTTGTCATACGGGTTCACTGTGACCGCGCACCAAAGGTCACTCTTGCCTAGGGTCAATCGTGCGCGTAGCCGAGCCAAGGAGAGCGAGAACGAAGGGTCCCCGACCGTGACGTCGGTTTCAGCTTCGCTTCGCGTCGCGCGCGCGGGCGAGGGGGAAGCGGCGCGAGGGCGACGATGCGTCGGCCGAGGCCAGGGCCAAGTCGGTCTCACGTTTCGCCCCGGATGTCTCGCGGTGGGGCGCGAGGTACTCCCGTGGGTTGTCCCGTGGTTGTCTTGTGGTTGCTGTGCAGGTTCTCCCGCTGTTGACCCCGTGGTTGGTCTCATGGGATGTCCTTGGGGAGTCCCGTGCGCTTGTCCCCTGGTGTGTCCTGTGAGTTGTCTTGCGGTTGTCTCGTGGGTTGTCCCGTGTTCATGCCGTAGGTCGTCCCGTCGGGTCTCCCGTGGGTAGTCCAGCGGTGTGTCCCGCGGGTTGCCCAGTGGCTGTCCCGTGGGTCGTCCCACGTGAAGTGCGAATCGGCATGCAGATCTATGTGCAATCGAAATCCAAAATGCAGTCGAAATCCAAAATTTCAATCGACATGTAAATCGAATGACAAACAAGTTGCCAGCATAATGTGCATCGCCTTATAAGTCGACATGCAAATCCAATTGCAAAAGAGATGCGCGTGGAAAGTCAAGACGGAGTGCGCTTCAGAAATTAGGACAAGATGCAATGCATCAGCAAAGCAATGCGCAAACATACGTTACCATTCTAAGTCAATTCGGCACGATAATCAACATAGGAGTCGAAGTTGCAAATCCAATTGCGGTCGGAATGCAAACCGAAATGCAATCCAACATCACGCCGAAATCCAAGTCCAAGCGCAGTCGACGCGCAAAGCGAGACACACATCGAAACGCAAATTCAGTTGCGATCGAAAGGACAGTCGAGGTGCAGGTCCCTCAACCCCCGAACCCCCTGCGAGGTATGGAAGCTGCTGTCTCGCCCACGGAGCACGCCCAACACCGTAGTGTGCGCCCGCTTCAGTGCCGCCACCTCGTGGGCCCTCCGGAGCCGAAGGTCGCCGCACTCTCCGCTCGGGGCGCTCAGCACGCCGAACTACGCTACCCCCATCTCGGCGGCTGCAGGAGCGCCCGGGCGGCCCCAGCGCCCCAGGAAGCAGGAGCATCGAGGGTCGATCGGAGGAGAAGGAGGCGGAGGAGGAGGGGATCGGAGGAGGAGCTTCTCCTCCTCCTCCTCCTCCGCCTCCTCCTCCTCCGCCTCCTCCTCCTCATCATCAGCATCATCCTGTTAATCATCATCACCGTCATCCCTACCAGAGGGAGGGGCGAATTAGGAGACAGCCTTCTGACCCATGCGCCCAAGGGGAGAGGAGGACCGGGAATCGGAGGAAGAGGAAGGGATCGGAGGACGAGAGGGGGAGGAAGAGAAGAAGGTCCCCCTCCTCGTTCTCATCACTCCCATCAGTAGATGTGGGCACATATACAGCCATACATATACATGTGTAAACACATACGTACATACATACATACGTACGTACATACGGACATGCATACATACATACAGACAGACAGACAGACAGACAGATATACATACGTACATACGACATACTACATACATGTATGCGTTCATGCATGCGTGCATACATACATCTATACATATATTCATACGTATGCAAACAGATTATGTGTATAGATACATATATAGAATGACTTTCTGACCGACGCCGTACTAATTGGTGCCTCGGTTCGGTGTGTGATCGGCTTGGGACGGCTATGGCGCACGGTCGTTTGTGAGTTCCAAGGTCAGAGCTACTGGGGCCTGTCAAGGGGCCTCTCGGAAGTCTTTGGGGGGGGCTTTGGAGCTCTTCTGGGCCTCGGGGGTCGTCCCCTTGGGGCCTCTTGGGGACCTGCTGGCGGTCTCGGGGGCCCCTGCAGAGGGCTCGAAATTTCAATTCGAGTTCCCACTCTTGGACACCTCTGAGGGTCCGTTGAGGGCCCTCGCGGGCGCTTCTTGGGTCGTCTTGGGGCCGTCTTGGAGCGTCTCAGGGCCCTCTGGAGGGCCTCTTGGATTGTCTTGGGATGATCTGGGAGGCCTCTTGGGCCGTCTAGGACGCCGTGAAGGCCGGAAAAAAGTCGCATATGCTGAAAATGAATGTTTCCCATAAGGAATGGAAAGATGATTGCCTAGTGAAATTTTCCTTCGAGGGCTCTTTGAGGCCTCTTGGGGCGTCTTGGAGGCTTCTTGGACATCTGGAGGCCATCTGGAGCGTCTTGGACCAATCGCTCGCCGACTCGGAGCCCTCTTAGACTGTCTGATAGCCCCCTTTGAGTCCTCTTGGCCCGTATTGGGGCCCTCTTGGGGTATTCTGGGGCCGTCTTGGAGCCCTCCAGGGGCGCTCCGGATCCAGCCTGGCTGGCGCGCCAGAGGTCAAGGCGGATCCGATTAGCGCAGCCATCTATCACTATAGTTCTCTGTCTCTCTCTCTCTCTCTCTCTTTCTCTCTCTCTCTCTCTCTCTCTCTCTCTCTCTCTCTCTCCCTCTATATATATCTCTTTCTGTCTCTAATTATGTCTCTCTATCTCTCTCTTTCTCTCTCTCTCTCTCTCTCTCTCTCTCTCTCTCTCACCCTACCCTCTCCCTCCCTCCCAGGCAACCCTCCCTGCTCCCAGGCATCCTGAACACCCAGTTCACCCCGGGTTGTTGCGAGACCCCTCCGCGCTGTTGGGGGCGGCGTGGCCTTCGCGGCCTCCCCTGCTCTCCCTCTTGGCCGCCCTGCTGGCTGCGCCCTCGGGCGCGGCGGGCGGGGCGCCCGGGAGGGACCTGGGTCCTTCCACCCTCTCAGGGCGAAACGCCCTTGCACCTCGCGAAGTGCTGTTGTGCATGTGGAGGAGGAGGAGGAGGAGGAGGAGGAGGAGGAGGAGGAGGAGGAGGAGGAGGGAGGAGGAGGGGGAGGAGGAGAAGGAGGAGGGGGAGGGGGAGGAGGAGGAGAAGGAGGGGGGGGAGGAGGAGGAGGAGGGAGGACGACGACGACGAGGAGGAGGAGGACGAGGAGGAGGAGGGAGCACATTCCACCCTTTCAGGGCGAGACGAGAATATCTGTCCCGCACTCCGAGAACAATGTAACGAGTGCGAGTTTCCATCGAGATGATGATGATTGTGTTCAAGTGCCCAAGTTATGATGGCTCCCTGCCGGCTGCTGCACAGCCCACATTGTGCGCACCGAGGTGAGAAAGATAATGCTCACCCCTGTGTGGGCGCCGTCTGCGCGCGTTTCAAGAGTTTGTCTCTCCTTGACGCCCCGTGTGGCGCCTGGCACGCTGTCCACGGCTCCGCGTCCGCCCGCGCAGGGGTCGCAATTGCGAACGGCACTGCAGGCTGCAGGCGCCAGCACGCCAACGCTTGCCAGCTCTGATGCAGCCCGTCCTTTACGCGGTGCGCAGATGCGGGGCGCTTTGCCCCCGTCACCACGCCACTCTTGCTGTCAAGCGCCTCGGCGCCGGGGAGGGGCCTGCTTCGGGATGGGCTGCGCTCGGCCCTTAATGGAGCTACGGCGGCAGGCTCTAGCCCCTGTCGGCCTGGACAAGCGTGTCCGCCTCGGTGTGTGTATGTATGTTGTGTGTAGGTATGTTGTGTGTATGTATGATGTGTGTGCTTGTGTGTGCGTGTGTGCATGTATGTTGGTTGTATGTTGTACGTGTTGTGTATGTGAGTGTGGTTGTATGTGTCTGTGTATGCTTGTGTGTGTGCGGTTGTGTATGTATGTCTGTTGTGTGTTGCGTATGTGTGTTTGTGTGTGCGTCTGTGTGTGTCTGTGCGTCTGTGTGTGTGTCTGTGTGTATGTGTGTCGTTGTCTCTCTCTCTCTCTCGCGCGCTCTCTCTCTCTCTCTCTCTCTACATATAGATATAGATGTGTGTGTATTTAGTGTCCTCTCTCTCTCTCTCTCGCGTTTGTCTTGGTTTCTCGCCCTCTCTCTCTCATGTTGTTTTCTCTCGCTCTCTCTCTCTCTCTCTCGCTCTCTCTCTCTCTCTTTCTCTCTCTCTCTCTCTCTCTCTCTCTCTCTCTCTCTCTTCTCTAACTCACTCTTTCTCTCTCTCTCTCTCTCTCTCTCTTTCTCTGTATATATATGTGTAAACTTACACACGCCTGCAAACCGTTATATAAAATATATGGGAACACATAAATACATAAATATGTGTAGACATATGTGTATACATATATATATATATATATGCTCGCACGTACACAACCAATTCCAACCAATAGACTTATATATACACACAAATGTACAGACCGAAGAGAGTGGAATAAAAATATGTTCCGACATATGTCTGGACTCATTCGGTGCCTGGTGTTCCTGCATGTTTAAAGTTGTGCGGGTACACCGAAGTATAATCAGCAAATTATTCGACGCGGGGATACCCATCTGTGCACATCATACTCTTGTCAGGGTTCGCGGGATAATGTTGTCTGTGAGCATCTGTGTGTGAGAGCGAGGCCGCGTAGACGGCGGGCGCGACAACGACGACGACGACGACTTCAGTGACGCCTTCCTCCTCTGGACATCTTTCAGGAGATACGAGGGAAGCACGAGTTGAAGAGCGAGGAGGAATGTCTGTTGCCGTTCTCACTGCGGCAAGTCGGGCAAGAGCGCATGGCGTTGCGACGCCCGCTCTCTGGCGTGCTAATCGCGGCGCCTGCTGGCACTCGGGGGGCGGCCCAAGTGCCACGCATGCTATATTGCATTACCTCTTGTGTATGAGCTTTTTTATGTGTGAATTTGAGTGCGAGCGATTTGAGTGTGAGCGAGTCGGAATGTGAGCGAGTACTGGCACCATTAAGCTTGAGTGTGGGTGAGTCTGAGTATAGTGAGTCGACGAGCGGGTCTGGACATGACTGAATCTGGGTGTGAGTGGGTTTGGGTGCGAGTGAGTCTGCTGCGAGCGAGTCTGGGTGGTATGGGCGAGCCTGACTACGAGTGAGTCGGAGCACGGGCGAGTCTTAATGTGATGAGCGGGCCTGCTTGAGGAATATTTGCGGGTGGGTAAGAGAACGAACGCGTTTGAGCGAGGAGGAGGAGGAAAAGGAGGAGGAGGAGGAGTGATTGAGTAACAAAGGGCAGCACACAAGTTCAAAAGAAAGCCTGGGGGGCAGAGACCGGCAAACCGACCGAGACGTCCCGTCAATCTGGGCGCGAATCCTGTAGTGTCCCCACCCCTGGCGATTCCCCCGTGGGGTGCCCAAATGCCATGAGCATTGGACCACAAGTAAAGAAAAGCCAAGAGGGCGCAGAAGCAGGCAAACTGATTAAGACATCCCCACAATCTGGGCGCGAACGGGCCCGAGAAATACACCCTGGCGGCTCCCTTCTTGTGGGTGCCCAAATGCCACGCCTTCTTCATCGCGGTGGGCAATGGACCACCAAAAGCTTGGGGGGCAGAAACACGCAAGCCGCTTGGACATCCCCACAATATGGGCGCAAACGGGCCCGTGCAACACACCTGTCGGCAGGAGAGGGGCAGGAAGAGGATGGGAAGGAGGAGGAGGAGGAGGAGGAGGAGGAGGAGGAGGAGGAGGAGGAGGAGGAGGAGGAGGAGGAGGAGGGGGGGGAGGAGGAGGACGAGGAGGAAAGAGAGGACGAGGAGGAGGAGGAGGAGGGAGCAGAGGAGGAGGATGAGATAGAGGTGGAGGAGCTCAACAAAAGCAGAGCTCTTCCCGCAAGCTCTCCTGGCCAAGTTTGCGGGCCTCCTGAAAACCTGAGAGAGAGAAAAAAAAAAAAAAAAAAAAAAAAAAAAAAAAAAAAAAAAAAAAAAATGCGTATTAGGTTTGGTGGTATCCCAGACTTGAAAGAGAAAGAAAAAATGTGTATAGTAGGGTTTGGTGGCCATGCTCCCCCCGCAAGCTCTCCTGGCCAACTTTGCGGGCTTCTTGAAAACCACACAAAAAACTGTAGATAGTAGGGTTTGGTGGTGCCAGCAGGAGGAGGAGGAAGGAGGAGGAAGAGGAGGAGGAGAAGCAGGGGGTGGAGAAGTGGGGTGAAGCAGGAGGGGACGGGAGGAAGGAGGCGGGGGGGCATGAGGGCGAGGGAGGCGGGAGGAGGAGAGGGCGGAAGGAGCAGAAGGAGGGGGGCACCCAGTCAGGTCGATGGATGAGGTCTGCGCCAGCGCACTCGACGCTGGCATTCGCAGCGTGTCCGTGCAGTCTCCCGCCCGTTTCGCTGCTCGGCGTTCTCTCTGCCGGACACAATCGGCAGTGTCTGGACGTCGGTCGGTTGTTCCGCCCGGGTGCCTTCGGAGTGCGGTGCCGCGCTCGCGCCCGTGGAGCGCCACCGCCAGAGGCATTATTGAATCGCTTCGCTCATTCCGCCGGCCCGTGATATGGCATCGCTGGTTTTTGTCTGTGTGTTCGTTGCCCATGTTGCGCTCTTGGGGGCGGGTGTCGTTCGGACGCGTTGCGTGGGGAGTTTTGATGGTGAAGCAGTTCCCTGGGGGTCGTCTCTCGATGGGGCGAAATAGAGTCGTCGTCAAGATGCTTCTTTGGGGGGCCTCTTGGGGTCTGTTGAGAGGCCGTTCGGGGGCGCCTGGGAGACATGTTTGAAGCCTTCTGGGGCTTCTTTTGGGCCTCCTGGGAGTCTCCTGGGGCCTCTTGGCGACATCTTGGGGCCTCTTGGAGGCCTCTTGGGGCCTCTTTGGGACCTCCTGGGCGCCTTCTGGGACGGAGGGCTCCATTTTTGAGTTCTCGGTATCCCTCCTGAGTCCCTCTTGGGCCCGTCTTGGGGCCTCTTGGTCCGTCTTGGGCGGCACTTGGGCCGTCTTGAGGGCTCTCTTGGGTCGTTTCGGCGCCGTCTTGGGAGCTTCGTGGGCCGTCTTGGAGCGGTCTTGGGGGCCTCTTGGGCCGTCTTGGAGCGTCCGGAAGCCGAAAAAGCCAGAACACAAAAAACATCGAAAAAAACAATGAAAATCAACGATTTTGGCCTCTTGGGGCTCTCTTCGGAGGCCTCTTGGAAGGCTCTTGGGGCGTCTTGGAGGCCTCTTGGGCTGTCTTGGGGGCCTTTTGGGCCGTCTTGGGGTCATCTTCGGCGTCTTCGAGCGCTCTTTGGGCGTCTCGGGGGCCTCTTGGGCAGTCTTGGGGGCCTCTTGGGGCACTCTGAGCGCGCTCTGGGGAGCCTGAGAGGCCGCACCCAGAAGGAAAACCATCTCTGAGTAGACTTGGTCGGGCGTTGGTCGGGGTACTTTTCGCCGGGGGACCCCCAGGGGCCGCCCCGCGCGCGCGAACTAGAAATACTGTTAATACTGTTAACCAGTTACCGGAGATCTTAGCACGCCCTGGCCCGTTGGGCCGGCGAATTTGAAAAAGGCGTCTTGCTGACGGGTGCTTCCCAATCCCCAAAGTGGCGGCGCCCAGATCTCAGGGCCGTCCACCACCCAACCTCCCCGCTGCTCCCGCCCCACCTTCGCGCCGCACGCTCCGCCCCATAGATCAATCACTGAACGGTTCGAGGGCGCCTCGACTTCATCAAATTCATCGTCATCATCTTCATCTTCATCATCAGCATCATCATGCCTCAGTGGCATCAAGGTAGCCGCCAAATTCTTGACAGCATCAGGGCTGAATGCAAAACTTGTCCTTGCCTTTGCGTGAGTATCTTGGGGAGTGTGAACAACGCGTGGCCGACCACCGCTCGCTACCGTCAGGGCACCATCAGCTGCAGGTATGGATGCGGGGCGATCGGCGGTGACTATATTCTTCAGTAGTTTGATTGTCCTATTGTGGTTCTCCTTCTCTGCGAAGTGATCCCCTCTCTTTCTGCATGGTACAGGCATCTTAGAGGATACGAAAGACTCTGATGTAAATTCCCCGATCCCCGCTTCTCCACCACTGTCTTGCATGGCTGCCTTCTTATGCATGACCTCTTGCTCTCTGCGTTCAGCACTCTCAGAAGCGAGGAGCCCTGTGGGCCTGGGAGGCTCGAAGGGCTCTTCAAAAACAGGGTTCGTGCTGTGGCCAAGAGGGCCCCAGCGCTTCGCGAAGCTCTCAGCGGGCGATCTGACACACGAGGGGGGGGGCTGATCATCATCATCATCAGCAGCATCACCGCCGTCATTATTACCACCAGCATCATCAGCAGCACTATCACCATCGTCATCATCGCCATCATCAGCAGTACCACCATCGTCATCATCATCACCATCCTCGTCACCATCACCATCACCATCAGCAGCACCACCACCACCACCATCACCATCACCATCACCATCACCATCATCCTGACCACGTTCGCCATCATTAGCACAGGCACCAGCATCATCAGCAGCATCATCACCACCACCACCGCCACCACCAGCCTTCGCGCCGCGCCGCACGCCCCCGCAGGATCTGCGGCCTTCCGCCTCCCGGGTTCGCCGGCCTCCTCGTGCGCCGGGTCGCGCGGCCGCGGGCGTTTCGGGGGGCGGCTCTGGGCCTCCAGGGGCCCCCGCGGGGCCACAGGGCGATGATGTTCCAGCCTGCTGTAGCGTCGAGCAGCAGAGAGAAGTTCGAGCACCAATGGAGCATCGAGATTGGAGGGTCTTGGCGTGGCGGGCCCTGGGAGGCGATGCTCGTTCGGCAGTTCGCCATCGTGTCGGGCAGACACTGTGCCGATACTGTTCTGGGTGTTCGGAACGATTTTTGGGATGGGGTCCTCAGGTACGATGGGAACAACAGAATCCCAGGGCCGTCGAAACACGTTATGGTCGTCGGCGACGTGGGGCACGAGGCGTCGGTTACAGCCAAGATGCTGCAATGAGCACACATTTGTGGTGCAGGGGGGGGCTCCAATGTTTTGGCCGTTCCCCACGCTCGAGTCAAGGAGCGTGTTCGTGGTCGAGGCTCGCCGTGACCAGAGGCGCCCCTCCGCCGTTCCTCCTGGCAGCACGACGGCCGTGGCAGCCGCCAGGGCGCGGCAGAGCTCACTGCGCGCCGAGAGCGGCCGCGAGAGGGGGGGGGCTGCGACGGGAGCCGCACCCTGCGTGTCTGTGTGTCTGTGTGGCTGTGTGTGTTGCCCGCGGTCGCCGCGCCAACTACGTCGTGCCCCATGGGGCTTGACGACTACTCCAGATTTCGTAATAAAAGGGAGGGGGTCTGGACCCTCCAAGACAAGCCATTTCAGACCCCCCCCCCGTGGGAGAACCCTCCTAAACATCGTCCCCAGACCCCCCCAGGCCCTCCAAGATAGCCTGGAGGAGACCCCCCCCGAAATGAGACCCCCCTCCCTTTATTACGAAATCTGGAGTACGTCGTGCCGCATGGGGGTTGACGACTACGGCACTGGCGGATGTGTGTTCGCATGCAGTTGCCGCACCCATGTCGGGAGACCCCTCACACAGATACGCTTTGCGCTACATACGGTTGCAAAGGGCCAGATCTTTCCTTGAGTAAGCTCTCTTGTCCGCCCGCATGCAGCAAGCAGTCTGGACCGTAGCGTGAGACTGTCTCGGCGGCGACTCGAAGACATCGCCAGGTCAGCGCGGGCTCTCATTTTTTTGGCAAACGCCGCACGGTTGCCTCTCAGCCTCCCCGAGAGGTCGTCGCCGCAGGCAGTCTGCATGGTGCCAGCCCCCGTTGCAGTTGGCCGGCTCCTCGGAAGGCAAGCCGATCTCGAGAACGGATCGACCGCATCAGTTTGATCGGCCGGTGTTGCGCGAATGATGTTGTGGGGTCGTCTAGTTTAGTCGCATTTGCCGAAAGATGACATTGCACTGACTGCCAGGTGCTCCCGTTGGCTCGGGGGAACTCGCGATGACAGAGGGGGTGTAGAGCCCAGACTAGCAGCTACTTGCAGCCAGGAGGCAGCTATGAGGGATGTGGACACATGGGCAGCCATGGGGTAGCCAAGATGTACGCATGGGGTGGAAAGTAGGAGCTGGTGTGATGTGTACAAGATGGCCTTGATTTCGTGTATTGCGTCACCGCCAGAACCAACAAAGCATTTCTCATGGTGCAACCCTTGCGTCAGCGTAAAACTGATAAGGGGTTATAAGTAAGTCACCAGATCAACTCTGAGAACACATGGCATGCAATCGGTCAGAACTGAGATCAAACTAAAACTACACTAATCAAAGGCCGAGCCGAAATGCTACGATCCCAAGCGATATGAAGGCAACTCGAGCTGAGTAAAACCAACCGAAGCTAACCTAGGCAAAAGCAAAGCCAAGCTCCAATCAGAAGCACAATGAAAGAAAAGTGAGGTTAAGCAAAAATCTAGTCCCATTGGTGTCAAGAGATACTGCGTAGAGGTTTAGCTATGATGCCAGCGCGCGGACTCTGAATATATCATTTGTGTAATACGTGTGTAAGGCAATGTGCGTTTATGTGTGGACCCCGTGTGAGTATGGAATCACGTGTGGCTGTGCATGTGTGCGCGTCGTGCCACCGCGGGCCACCTTCGTTTGCACTTCGTTGTTCCTTGACCATGGTTGCTGCCACTTTCGGCGGAAGGGGGATCTGATTGCTTTGACGACGATCGCCACGCCAAGGTTGGCTTCATTGCGCCGCCAGCGCGCACCTCGCCCCCGCGGTGTGCCAGCAGAGCTTCCTGCAGCCGGCTGCTCTGTGGGCCGGCGGCTCGGCAGCGCCCGAGCGAATCTTGATAGGAAAAGGGCAGTGGGGGGAGAGGACAAGGACGAGGTCGCGTTGTTGTCTCTATCTCTCTTTCTCTCTCCCTCTCTCTCTCTCTCTGCTTCTCTCTCTCTCTCTCTCTTGAGATACCCAGCGTTTGCTGCAAGTAAGCGTTTGGGGTTCACATCATTTAACTTAGTGTAGAGCCTTCCAGGTTCAAGCGTCGAATGGGTTTCCTTTTCGCTTCCACATCAGGGGGCGCCCCACTTCTTCCGAACGATGAGCAACGCTTGCCAAAGTGAGCTCTTGGGACGGATCTCCCTTGCATGCTTAACAACGGTTCACGCTCATCGGCGCGAATTTGGGGAGGCGATCTACGCCCGATTCGTTCAGACTGTGTGGCAGACGATCGGAAAGGCGACCTAGCACGGATTAGTCCCAAGGTACAATGTAGACCCTGCCAAGAAACACCCTGCTTGCCTCCAGGGTGCCCTGGGCCTCTTGGGTTTCGATGATTTTGAGATGGAGAGCGCGACGTTCCCACGCCAAAAATCAATGGGCGTCCTGGGTTGGGTTTCTTGTGGAAGGTTTCTTGTGGACTGGCCTCCACTGTATCATGCAGGACCCCGCAAGTTTGACCAGAGGCTCACTCCGGATAGATCATACTAAAGCAAATACCATGTCGCTGCGTTTTCAGATGTATTGGACGTGGTTGCCAGGAGCAGCACGCACAAAGAAAGATTGAGCATGATGTCGCACGTCTGCATGTAATGAGTTTGATGACAAAGGGATGTACAAGAGTAAGTGGGCTAAGACGCTGCACTCAGAAGACAATACAATTAAACAACACAACACAACACAAAAAGCGCGCGGTGGGGCAAGTTCGTGAGCGGAAAGCATATCTGCATCCATGGCCTCGTGGGCAGGGACCCCTGGCCGCGACCGCGTGGATACGGGGCGGTTTTTTTTCTGCGGATGCCCCGCGCGGAACTTCTGCATGCGACCACGTGTCCACGGCAGCGCCCTGGAGTGCAGACCGCGAGGGCGTGGATATGGATACGTTCGCCGTTCGTGACAAGTAGCATTCATCCATCCTGCCTCGCAAAGCGGGGGCTCGCATATATCTGTCCTTCCCCTCTGCCCTCTGCTGCTGCTGCTGCTGCTGCTGCTGCTGCTGCTGCTGCTGCTGGTGCTGCTCCTGCTCCTTGTTCATGCGGTTGCCGCTGCTGCTGCTCCTCCGGCCTCCTCCCCGTCCTCTATCATCTCCTCCTCTCCGCCCCCCCTCCTTCCACAGCTCATGCCCTCTCCTGGTTCCAGGGGGAGTCCCAGGAGCCTCCGTCCTCCCGAGGTGGGCACGAGCCGGTCTGCAGGGCCTCGCGCCGCGCGCGCGGCGAACCCTTTTCTCTTCGGCCCTCTCGGTCTTGAGAGGTGCGATCTGCGCGCTCCGTGCTTGCCCTGCCAAGCGGCCGCGCAACAGCGAAGGGGCTGCTCCTGGTCGTCCTCCTGCTCGTCTTCTGCCACCCCTCCTCCAGCCCCCTCCTGCCTATCATCCTCCCCTCCCTCCTCTCCTCCTCCTCCATCTTCCCCTCCTGATCCTCCTCCTCCTCCTCCTCCTCCTCCTCCTCCTCCTCCTCCTCCTCCTCCTCCTCCTCCTCCTCCTCCTCCTCCTCCTCGCTGCTCCCCCCCATCGCCCCCGGGCCCGCGGCGTGCGAAAGATGCGGGGGGCCAGTCCTGCTCGATGCTGCGCCTCTGGAAGCCCCGTTTCGGGCCCCCAATGGCCAAGCGAGGCGCGACACGCGGCAGAAGACCGGCCCTACAGGGATGGGCGGTGCACATGCGGCGGCCACTGTGAAGAGGAAGCGCACGACATGATAAGAGAAGCTTTCAGCGTTTTTCATTGAAATAAAAACTAAGCAAAACAATAACAAAAACAAGCCTGTTCCGTCCGCCCTGGTGGTTGACGAGGTGCTCGCCCGCGGAGCCAGAGGCCTCGGACGAAGGCACTCTTCACCTTCAGCCGGCGCGCTGCCGTTGCGAAGTGCGCCCCCAGGCTGTGCGCACTTCGCGCTCCAGGGGCGCCGCGCCCTCCCCGCCCCACGGACAAGCACAGGGCAGGGGCGGGCAGTCGCGCGAGGGCTTGCGCCGGAGCCGAGGTCGGAACTGCGCCGCTGGCGCCGCTGGACGGGCGGGCGTGGAGGCGCTCGCCGACCCAGCCGGCCCACCTGCGGCCCACTGGCGGCCCACCGCCGGCCCACCGCCGGCCCACCGCCGGCCCACCGGCGGCCCATCGGCGGCCCCTCGGCGGCCTTCGGCGCGCGGAGGCAGCGCCAGCGACGACGACGTCGACGCCGATGTCGACGTCGATGTCGACTTGGTGCCGGGGGTTTGTCGAGCCCTGGGCTCCCGCCGCCGCCAGACGCGTTTCGGGAGACTGGCCGGGACGGGCCCCGGGAAGAGTCCGGGAACCGATTTTCAGCTGGCGTGGGTGGGACGACCACGACGACGGCGGCGGCGGCAGCGGCGACGGCGGCGACGACGACAACGATGACGAAGGCGATGGTGATGCCGACGACGGCGGCTGCGGCGGCGGCAGGGTTTCAGGAGCCAGCCACTGCGCCTGGGGCACTATTTAGCAAGCGGGGGGGGCCCTGCCAGCAAGACCAGCGCCGCCAACATCGGCCACACTGGGCATAGGCACACAGGCGCAGGCACGTGGTGTTGGCGACAGCACGGCCCGTGTGGTCCCCGCTCCGCGCCCCGAGGTATCCAGGCGTTCTGACACGGTAATGAGATGGCCGAGTCGGTTCGCACGGATTATTGGGAGGAGGCACGTGCGCGATTTTCCGCGCTTGTCCTCGTCATGCGGAAGCTGCGCCGCTTTACCCTCCCTTCCTCCCTCCCCCCCTCGGCCCCCTCCTTCGCTAGAGGTCTCTGGGGGTCTTTGGAGGCTTCAGAGGCCTCTGGAGGCCCCCGGAAGTCAGAAAGGCCCCCCATAAGAAGAACCCCATGGAAGAAGTGTGCACCGACGCCATCCTCGGGCGGGCCGCCAACGATCTCCCGGGAACAGCGATACTGGCGACGAGGACGTGAATGACGGCGACGACGACGACCGCCACCACCACCGCCACGACGACGACGACGACGACGACGACGACGATGACGACACCTGAGCCTGGGAAGGCGTGGGCACATCGTGGTGAGACAACTGGGTCGGTGTACCGAATTTCCTTTTTGGGGGTGCCCCCGCCCCGACCGTCTCGATAGGCAGGCGATGGTTTTTTTTTGGGCTCGCCTCCAGCCTCCGAGGTCCAAATCTGGCCTCGGGCGGAGGCCCAGTAGCTCAGCGCGGGCCAAGGCAGCCGCACACGCACGGCGCGCCTCGCTCTTGCACACGTTTCGTGCACCTCGTTTTCCGACTGGGGCGGACCGGCGGGCTCGCGCCAGCGCGCGCCAGCGCGGCTTGGTCCCGCGAGCCCGTCGCCCGCGGCGCCCGGAGGCAGGCCTCGCACCAGGCCTCGGCAGGCGGCGAAGCGCCGCCTCGGCGCGGTGGCGGCAGCTCTAGGTATGATCACCGGGGGCGCCCAGGAGGAGGAGGAGGAGGAGGAGGAGGAGGAGGAGGAGGAAGAGGAGGAGGAGGAGGAGGAGGAGAAGGAGGAGGAGGAGGAGGAGGGAGGAGGAGGAGGAGGAGGAGGAGAAGGAGGAGGAGGAGGGAGAGGGGCAGGGAGGGAGAGGAGGAGGAGGAGGAGGAGGAAGAGGGTGAAGGGGAGAGGGAGGGGGAGGGAGAAGTGCTGGAGGAGGAGGGGCAGGGGGTGGAGAAGGAGCGCCAGGAGGGTGGTGGATGAGAAGGTGGAGGAGCGGGAGGAGCAGGACGAGCAAGAGGAGGAGGGAAGGAGGAGGAGGCGGAGGAGGAGGACGAGGAGGAGGAGGAGGAGGAGGGGAGTGGGAGGAGGAGAAAAGAGGAGGAGGAGGAGGAGGAGGAGGAGGAGGAGGAGGAGGAGAAGGTAGAGGAGGAGGAGGAGGAGGAGGAGGAGGAGGAGGAGGAGGAGGAGGAGGAGGAGGAGAGGGAGGAGTAGGAGGGGGAGGGGGTGGAAGGGGAGGGAGTGGAGGAGGAGGAGCAGGAGGTGGAGGAAGCGGGGGAGGGGCGTGACGAGGAGGAGGAGGAGGAGGAGGTGGAAGATGTAGCGCACTACGGCCAGTGGCAAAACTACCCTGTCTCCTCCCGTCGCTTTCGTCGTCGCCAACCTCCCCTTGTCACCTTCTCTTTGCTGTTGCCGCGCAGACTGTTCGGCTCCCCTCGCGTCGTTCTCCTGCTCGTCGTTCCCATCCCCATGTCCTCTTCGCGCCTGGGCCCTCGCTTTTCGCCCTTCTATTGTTGTCCTGTGAATCATGAGGCGTGCGCGTATCCCACGTAGCTTACACAACAGACAAGGCACCTGCACTGTCATGATCCTGGCAAGTTTGGGCCAACCCTTTTCGCCAATTAACTGAAATTGAGTGGGTACGTCACAGAGGAATTAGACTACGTGCGATTTTTCTTCCAAAATCAGCCTGTAGGAGGACATGCCAGACCTAACAATAGGGGCCCGATCCGACGCACCCTGTCATGCAGTCCGCACCCGCCGATCCGATGTTGCTTGATTCAGGAGGGGAGAACAGACACAGACAAAATTCATCGTCGATTCCCAGGAACATGTTGGAAAATATCGGAGGGGGGGTAAACGAAAATCCAGAAAATTCGTTACAACAGGAGGAATCCTGGGACTCGTTTGGTTTGTACTTATGTATGTGTGTGTCTCTTTGGGCCCCTTTATTGATATCCTGCCGCGGGCTGCCGTGGGCTCGGCGTCCTCGGGGGGAGGGTGCGCGCGCGCGCCGGCGGTCGGCCGACCAGGCCTGGGGCCCCCAGATTGGGCCCCAACAGCGGCCCGAGCCCTTCGTCTGTCAGGAGGGGAAATCGGCGCAGGGGGGAGAGGGGGAGGGGGAGGAGGAGGAGGAGGAGGAGGAGGAGGAGGAGGAGGAGGAGGAGGAGGGAGGAGGAGGAGGAGGAGGAGGAGGAGGAGGAGGAGGAGGAGGAGGAGGAAGGAGGAGGAGAGGAAGGGAGGAGGAGGAGGAGGAGGAGGAGGAGGAGGAGGAGGAGGAGGAGGAGGAGGAGGAGGAGGAGGAGGAGGAGGAGGAGGAGGAGGAGGAGGAGGAGCAGGAAGAGGACATGACGAGGACTAGGACGAGGACGGGACGAGGATGAGGACGAGGACGAGGACGAGGAGGAAGAGGAGGAGGAGGAGGAGGAGGAGGAGGAGGAGGGGGAGGAGCAAGGAGCGAGGAGGAGCGAGGAGGAGCGAGGAGCGATGAGCGAGGGAGGAGGTGGAGGAGGAGGAGTGAGGAGGAGGAGGAGGAGGAGGAGGAGGAGGAGGAGCGAGAAGGAGGAGCGAGGAAGAGCGAGGAGCGAGGAGGACCGAGGAGAAAGCGGCAAAAGATGTTGATCTGTGCGAAAAGATAGTGAAGCATTGGCGTGGGAGGGGGAGAAGAGGAGCTGGGAAATCTGGAGAATAATCCATGACAAGCTCGGCGGTTGAGCCGATGTATGTTTGTCGCGCTGGGCCCCTCGAACTTGCTCCCCGCCGTCGCACCTGCGAGCACCGTTGGCGTCGCGCGCTCTGCTCCCACGTGCAGGCGCATGGGCGTCTCAAAGCGTCCATGCCGATTCGAAGGAACGCCCCTGGCATGCGCCGCAAGGCCAGCTAGGGTAGGTTCGCGTCGTGTCTCGAAGAAGAGAAAACTGCATCAACATAGATGTTCGGCGCTCCGCGCGGATTTCTTGGGTCGGCGCTAGGGCACTCCTGGCATCACCCTTGGCGCGCGGAGCGCGCCAGGGAGGGGGCCCCAGCGTGGATCCAAGGAATCCGCGCCGAGCTCCGAATTCTTATGTTTATGCAGTTGTTTCTTCCTCTAGGTAGGTTCGCGTCGTGTCGACTTGTGGCGACCCCGCCGCCGGCGTTCAACGTCGGACGCCGCCAGCGACCCAGAATCTGTGAACGTTGAACGATCTGACGTTTCGGAAATTGCCGATCGTTCAAGGCTGAACGATCCCCGCGGTGTCAGGAACCAACGCCGCAGTCGGCACAACACGAACCTGCCGTGTATTTCCATGAGGCGCACGCAACCCGAGCGCGCGAGACTCAAAGGACACGCGCTCGGAGCTGCGTGTGGCCCGTGGGCTGCCGGCTTAGCTTAGTTAGGACCACGAGGAGCACATTAGTTATTAGGAGCAGCGCGGATTGCTGGCCCGCCCCGCAAAGCGAGGCGGGCGGGTTCCGCGGGCGTTTGTGTTCGTTGGCTCTGTTGCTGCCTGCACCAGCCTAACACCAGTCAATCGCCTCGCTCGTCTGCGTTGCGTACAACCCAGATCTCCGACGAGATGGTTTTTCAGTCCCAGCGATTTGTCCTTCGCTTCTGCCTCTGGTGCCCATTATCGGGCGCCAGGACCGCCAAAAGGGGATGCGGGACGAAAACTCCCCGCTAATCACGACGTCGGATGTCTGGGAAAGTGGACGTGCGCGCCAGAATTCCACCCCAACGTGGAGCAGCAATGCCAGGCAGGGCACATTTCGGTCTGGTCAATCCAGTTCGATATCTGATTTCGGCAGGCCCGAATTGAGTCGATTCTGATATTCCGGCGATTCGACGCGGCCAAATGTTCAGGGCCCACTAAATCAGGACATTGCTAACCAGGATTTTGAAAGTTCCATTTTGAGAGAACGAAGAATGGAGAATGTTTCGACCTACGGCTGCAGTTCTCTCGAGCGCGCCAACGTCCTGATTTACCCATGTCCTAGTTCATCAATGTCCCCGTTTGGGAGCCCTGACATGCATGCGTGCATGGCACTGTTATGCATCCTGGTGCATCCGATCAGACTCGACGTCAACTCCGTGCCGATGTGGCCCGATCCGACCCACATTGCGATTCGATGTGGCTTCCGGATCCGATGTTGATTGATCCTGCCCAGCGGAACCACAAGAGGGGGCGTCGATGTTCAGGAATCGAAGAGTAAAAAATGCATACGAAAGCATAGTTTGTTGGAGGTCCACGCTGATTTCTTGGATCCACGCTGGATTCCCCTCCAGGGGCGGCGCCGCCAGGGCTATCCAGCGGCGATCCCAGAAATCCGCGCGTACCTCCGAAAGTTGATGTTTAGGTAGGCGCGTTTCTCCTCTGAGGAAGATGCCCAGCAAGAGGGCCGGCGGGGAAGAACGTCTGATGTCGTGTGCCATGTAGTGGTTGAGCGCCTCTTCCTCCTCTTCCGCACGCGGCCCCTTTGTCCTCCTTCCGCTCTTGCACGCCGGACAATCAGCTCAGTAGTGCCCCGGCTTCGCTCTTTCGCTGGTGCGGATTGCCCCGCCTCGCCGAAGACGAAAAAAGCGCTCTGCAGTGGGCCTCCTCCTCCTCCTCCTCCTCCTCCTCCTCCTCCTCCCCCTCCTCCTCCTCCTCCTACTCCTCTTCCTTGTCAGGCTGGGGGCTGGAAATATTGGAGTTCGAAGAGCAAGCAAACATTTGCATGAGCATAAACGCTCGTTGCTCCGCTCGGATTTCTCGGATCGGCGCTGAAACCCCTTGGCGCGATCCGCGCACGAGGGGGTCAGCGCCGATTCGAGAAATCCACTCGGACATCCGAAAGTTTTTGATTATGCCTTCTTGATTTCTCTGAGATTGAATGTGGAGGCCCCAGCGGTCTCGGTCGACCCCCGAAGGAACTAGGGACAGCACCAGAAAGCGAGCGACACTCCTGAAGCGGCGAGCATCTCTGGCCAGGTCCTTTGCAGATGGTCACCTGCTGTGCTGTGCCGGCGTTGGTGATACCGCTACCAGAAGGAGCTTGGGAGTCGGCAGTGTTTCTCCCTCTCCTTCGCCTCCTTCTCCAATCCATTGTCAGCACACTCTCTCCTCCTCCTCCGTCTTCCGCCCCGATGGCCCCAGGACGTGCTTCTTCCTCGCATCCGGAGTGGTTTGAGCTTGGATCTTTCCTCACGGCTTGACTGGTTCTGACGTGGCTCCGCGGGGCAGCCTCGAGAGGCCCAAAACTACCGTTGGTGGCAGAAGCCCTTGAACAGCATAATGGAAGAGGAAGGATAGCATTCTACGGCACTGAGCAGACGGGAGACAATACGGGACACCATACGGGAGGGCGTACGAGAGACCATGCGGGAGATCATAGGGGAGACCACACGGAAAACCATACGAGAGACAATGGGGCACGAGCCGCCAGTTCCGGATCCAGACGAGCTCACGAGCCCTAAGAAAAGTACACCTCGTTTTACAGGCAAGTCGTTTAAGGGCAAAACGTCCACTAAATGTTGGTCGATGATTTTGCACTTCCCCTCGCGCTTGCGTCCCCCTTGATCCAGCAGGGTCACTGCCGCACCGCTCACGGACCCCTATAAGGGAGCAGCCATCATAATCAACAGCATTTGCAGCAGCATCAGCACCATCATCATCATCATCATCACCATTATCATCATCATCATCATCATCATCATCATCATCATCATCATCATCATCATCATCATCATCATCATCATCATCATCAT